TAACAAAGTATTGAGAAACTTTTGTTATTGACCAAATACTTATTTTCCACCATAATTTACAAATAAATTCATTAAAAATCCTACAATGTGATTTTCTGGATTTCTTTTTCTCATTTTGTCTGTCATAGTTGACGTGTACCTATGATGAAAATTACAGGCCTCTCTCATCTTTTTAAGTGGGAGAACTTGCACAATTGGTGGCTGACTAAATACTTTTTTTCCCCACTGTATATATGTATGTATGTATATATATGTGTGTATGTATGTGTATGTGTGTATGGGGCGGCGCACAATTGGCCCAGCGTCGTCCAGGGTAGGGGAGGGAATGGCCGGCAGGGATGTAGCTCAGTTGGTAGAGCATGGCGTTTGCAACGCCAGGGTTGTGGGTTCGATTCCCACAGGGGGCCAGTATGAAAAATACAAAATAATGTATGCACTCACTAACTGTAAGTCGCTCTGGATAAGAGCGTCTGCTAAATGACTAAAATGTATATGTACACTGCTCAAAAAATAAAGGGAACACTAAAATAACACATCCTAGATCTGAATGAATGAAATAATCTTATTAAATACTTTTTTCTTTACATAGTTGAATGTGCTGACAACAAAATCACACAAAAATTATCAATGGAAATCAAATTTATCAACCCATGGAGGTCTGGATTTGGAGTCACCCTCAAAATTAAAGTGGAAAACCACACTACAGGTTGATCCAACTTTGATGTAATGTCCTTAAAACAAGTCAAAATGATGATCAGTAGTGTGTGTGGCCTCCACGTGCCTGTATGACCTCCCTACAACGCCTGGGCATGCTCCTGATGAGGTGGCGGATGGTCTCCTGAGGGATCTCCTCCCAGACCTGGACTAAAGCATCCGCCAACTCCTGGACAGTCTGTGGTGCAACGTGGCGTTGGTGGATGGAGCAAGACATGATGTCCCAGATGTGCTCAATTGGATTCAGGTCTGGGGAACGGGCGGGCCAGTCCATAGCATCAATGCCTTCCTCTTGCAGGAACAGCTGACACACTCCAGCCACATGAGGTCTAGCATTGCCTTGCATTAGGAGGAACCCAGGGCCAACCGCACCAGCATATGGTCTCACAAGGGGTCTGAGGATCTCATCTCAGTACCTAATGGCAGTCAGGCTACCTCTGGCGAGCACATGGAGGGCTGTGCGGCCCCCCAAAGAAATGCCACCCCACACCATGACTGACCCACCGCCAAACCGGTCATGCTGGAGGATGTTGCAGGCAGCAGAACGTTCTCCACGGCGTCTCCAGACTATGTCACGTCTGTCACATGTGCTCAGTGTGAACCTGCTTTCATCTGTGAAGAGCACAGGGCGCCAGTGGCGAATTTGCCAATCTTGGTGTTCTCTGGCAAATGCCAAACGTCCTGCACGGTGTTGGGCTGTAAGCACAACCCCCACCTGTGGACGTCGGGCCCTCATACCACCCTCTTGGAGTCTGTTTCTGACCGTTTGAGCAGACACATGCACATTTGTGGCCTGCTGGAGGTCATTTTGCAGGGCTCTGGCAGTGCTCCTCCTGCTCCTCCTTGCACAAAGGCGGAGGTAGCAGTCCTGCTGCTGGGTTGTTGCCCTCCTACAGCCTCCTCCACGTCTCCTGATGTACTGGCCTGTCTCCTGGTAGCGCCTCCATGCTCTGGACACTACGCTGACAGACACAGCAAACCTTCTTGCCACAGCTCGCATTGATGTGCCATCCTGGATGAGCTGCACTACCTGAGCCACTTGTGTGGGTTGTAGACTCCATCTCATGCTACCACTAGTGTGAAAGCACCGCCAGCATTCAAAAGTGACCAAAATATCAGCCAGGAAGCATAGGAACTGAGAAGTGGTCTGTGGTCACCACCTGCAAAACCAGTCCTTTATTGGGGGTGTCTTGCTAATTGCCTATAATTTCCACCTGTTGTCTATTCCATTTGCACAACAGCATGTGAAATGTATTGTCAATCAGTGTTGCTTCCTAAGTGGACAGTTTGATTTCACAGAAGTGTGATTGACTTGGAGTTACATTGTGTTGTTTAAGTGTTCCCTTTATTTTTTTGAGCAGTGTATATATATGTATATATACAGTTGAAGTCGGAAGTTTACATACACCTTAGCCAAAAACATTTAGACTAATTTTTTCACAATTCCTGACATTTAATCCTAGTAAAAATTCCCTGTCTTAGGTCAGTTAGGATCACCACTTTATTTTAAAAATGTGAAATGTCAGAATAATTGTAGAGAGAATGATTTATTTAAGCTTTTATTTATTTCATCTCATTCCCAGTGGGTCAGAAGTTTACATACACTCAATTAGTATTTTATAGCATTGCCTTTAAATTGTTTAACTTGGGTCAAACGTTTCGGGTAGCCTTCCACAACCTTCCCACAATAAGTTGGGTGAATTTTGGTCCATTCCTCCTGACAGAGCTGGTGTAACTGAGTCAGGTTTGTAGGCCTCCTTGCTCGCACACACTTTTTCAGTTCTGCCCACAAATGTTCTATAGGATTGAGGTCAGGGCTTTGTGATGGCCACTCCAATACCTTGACTTTGTTCTCCTTAAGCCATTTTGCAACAACTTTGGAAGTATGCTTGGGGTCATTGTCCATTTGGAAGACCCATTTGCGACCAAGCTTTAACTTCCTGACTGATGTCTTGAGATGTTGCTTCAATATATCCACATAATTTTCCTTCCTCATGATGCCATCTATTTTGTGAAGTGCACCAGTCCATCCTGCAGCAAAGCGCCGCCACAACATGATGCTGCCACCCCCGTTGTTCACGGTTGGGATAGTGTTCTTCGGCTTGCAAGCCTTCCCCATTTTCCTCCAAACACAATGATGGTCATTATGGCCAAACAGTTCTATTTTTGTTTTATCAAACCAGAGGACATTTCTCCAAAAAGTAAGATATTTGTCCCCATGTGCAGTTGCAAACCATAGTCTGGCTTTTTATGGCTTTTTGGAGCAGTGGCTTCTTCCTTGCTGAGTGGCCTTTCAGGTTATGTTGATATAGGACTCGTTTTACTGTGGATATAGATACTTTTGTACCTGTTTCCTCCAGCATCTTCACAAGGTCCTTTGCTGTTGTTCTGGGATTGATTTGCACTTTTCGCACCAAAGTACGTTCATCTCTAGGAGACAGAACACGTCTCCTTCCTGAGCGGTATGACGGCTGCGTGGTCCCATGGTGTTTATACTTGCGTACTATTGTTTGTACAGATGAACGTGGTACCTTCAGGCATTTGGAAATTGCTCCCAAGGATGAACCAGGCTTGTGGAGGTCTACACATTTTTTTCTGAGGTCTTGGCTGATTTCTTTTGATTTTCCCATGATGTCAAGCAAAGAGGCACTGAGTTTGACGGTAGGCCTTGAAATACATCCACAGGTACACCTCCAATTGACTCAAATGATGTCAAATTAGCCTATCAGAAGCTTCTAAAGCCATGACATAATTTTCTGGAATTTTCCAAGCTGTTCAAAGTCACAGTCAACATAGTGTATGTAAACTTCTGACCCACTGGAATTGTGATACAGTGAATTATAAGTGAAATAATCTGTCTATAAACAATTGTTGGAAAAATTACTTGTGTCATGCACAAAGTAGATGTCCTAACCGACTTGCCAAAATGATAGTTTGTTAACAAGAAATGTGTGGAGTGGTTGAAAAACAAGTTTAAATGACTCCAACCTAAGTGTATGTAAACTTCCGACTTCAACTGTATATACATGTATATGTATATGTGTGTATGTATATGTATGTATGTATGTATGTATGTATGTATGTATGTATGTATGTATGTATGTATGTATATATGTATATGCATGTGTATATATGTATATGTATATATATATATATATATATATATATATATATATATATATATATATATATATATTTGCGAGAGAAAAAAATATATGGGGATTGGAAGTGATGCAGACAATTACATTGATGGAAGTTACAATCTATCTGCAATATTAAAGCTGATCTACCCCCTAAGAAAAAAGAGAGAGAAAAAAAAAATAAGAGAAACGGACTCAACTGCACGAATGCCTGGCCACCCCGTCTTCAGTCAGCTGTTCGTTCCACACAAAAAAATTGTTTTGGCGGTTATTTTCTTTTCATGACGGTCTTCATCCATAATCGTTGGTTACACACTCATACAGTCATTGTGCCAGCCCTATAAGTTGCCCTACTCATCAATAGATTCTCTGTGACATTGCCTGCAGGCTTGACCTTCACCGCAAAGACCTTCATTATTACATGTGGCCTAGCTCCACACACTGTCTAATTGTAACCTAATTCTAAATAATAAATGGTCATCACTGAGTCATCACTGAGCAGATTTCAGAGTCATATGATGGCTGACCACCTCTGGCCATCGAGGGCTGCCAGGGCAACTAGGCTGGGTGAGAAGCCGGGTAAGGCCTCAGAGATACTACTCACCAGAGGAGATATATATCCTCTAGCCACAGAGAGAAAGGGGCTGGAGACACATTTGGGAGTCACATCACTTAGATCCAGTCCCTTCTGGTCAAATAGGGCATGAGTCACATGGCACGGCTAACTGGGTGCTTAATTATGCCAGACATACCTGCTTGGGGCCTCATGCTGATACTCCTGCTGGTACTAAAGTGCCCACACCCATCAATGTGTGGATTTAGTTGAATACTGCAACAGTTATGGTATATACCACACATCAAATGGGAACCAGACAAATCAAAAGCATTCACTGAGAAAATAACATAAAACTATAAGCAATAAGAACTATACAACTATTTAAAACTATAAAAGGATGAAACTATTGACTCAACCTAAATCCTGTCCTAAAACTAAAGCAACCAAAATTGTTTAGTAATATTTGTATAAAACAAAAGTTTTAAGTTTAAAACCCTCTGGTGTATGAATAGGACCACTATAGATTTACAAATAATTGATGCTATATAATTTATGTTTTTATGTGTCATTTGCACAGTGTTGACTTACTTGATGGGCTTCTCGATGGTGCAGTAGGTGGTGAAGGCTTGAAGCTGTTGCTGAACACCCGTTAAGGAGTTGGCAAACTTCTGGTTGCTGATGATGCCTATGGTCTTCTCGATCCACTCCAGGAGCTCAGAGGCCAGAGCCTCATATCGATCGATCATCTTCTGACCCTCAATGGCATTGTCCAACACCTGTATAACACATAAACATTTAGCATTGATGGACATTACATAGGAGTGATTTAATTCATAACTTTTGTTTAATAGCATTTGATAATGGATTGAATCGTTATCAGTTTGTTTTGAGCTACACAACTACACTCATGTGTGCAAAACATACAGTATGATATACATATTGCTCATGTTACTCATGTGTTCATAACATACAGTACATATCACTGTATATACACTGTATATCACTGTATACTGTAGGAGATATTTACACAGGTTCCAATGACAATTGTTTTATCATGTACCACAAGATCCAGGGTTAAATACCTTTCCCACTCTCTTGCCCTCTACTCGAAGGGCTTTCATCTTGGAGAAGTAATGGTAGTAGGATACAACATAGGTTATTATCGACTTCTCATCTGGGTTCTCCGTATTCACGTCTGCAGAGTCACACAGGAAGGACAACAATACACAAACATTTACATCACACATACACTATATAACATAATCACACCTTGACATGAAATCATTTCAGTAATGTAAAATATCAACTATGGTCACTGTAGCTGAAAGTCTGTGAATGTTTACACGTTTGAGATATATGTTACCAAATGTCCATGAATTGTTGAGGAGGTTGTCTAGCTGCTATTTCAATTCTCTATGCAGTCTTACCTTCAGGGTCCAGGAGTTTGGTGAGCCCCAGGTTCTGCTCAGCAATGTTGAAGGCTTGCTGGAGGTTGTATGTGGCATTGGACCGGATCAGCTTATGGAATTCAATCAAATCAGGCCTGTAGTAATGCAAATTAGGTCATTTAGTTCACTTTCTATAGTCACATAAATACATATTTTAAAACAAGACCATGCTGACCTGTGTCGGTGAATGAGCGCGTTGAAGGCGAGACCATCTCTCCAGCAGGTGGTGAAGTTCTGGATGTGGACCTCAGAGTACCTGTGGGACAGTTGACACAGAACACACTCACAACCATTGGTCCAATATATATATGCTATCCAACTAAAGACATTTGCATGTAACAACAGTAGTAAAACAACTGTCAAAACCCTTAAAAATGGAAAGTGGAAACTGTTCACAAAGGTTGACGTTCAATTTTGGCTTTTGGTTAAATGAAGACACTCACCCAGCGGTTTTCATCTGGCACCAGAGTAGCAGGGCATCCTTTGCCGACCGTGTCTCCCTGTTGTCGTCACACTCAATCTTAATCACCTGAATCTGTATGTACAGGGAGGGAGACCAGACGACAAACAACCTTGGTTAAGGAAACCAGCCTCAAAACTGTCCTCAGTTCAGTAAGATCACCAGATTACTATGAGTTTGTGAAGAAAACAATTAGGAAACACACCCATGTTGCTGATCAGTTTCAAACACACTGAACCCAAAACCCAGTTCCTTTCAACAGCCACACCAGGAGTGCAATCATTACACCGATTCTGTTGCAAACAGTTTGGGCTGTTTCAAAACGCTTTGCAACAGAAACCATTTACTCTAAACGGAAAACATTTTGCAACGAAAACAAGAGTTTCTAATGGACAAATTCAGGTAGGTCCCTCCCTCCCCATTTCCTTCCGTTTGCTCTGTTTGCTTCTGTTTGGTTCTTAAATGGTCAACGGTTTCCCTTGCAAGACTTAATGAATACACCCCAATAGTCACACAACTGCATTGCATGTCTCATCACTAACTCGCACACAGACATGTGCCTGTCATGTTGGGAGGAAGGCCACAGAATCATGACAACATCACTGTGCACCCTCATCATCTACAGTATGACAGCCATTGGCCCAATCATGTCACGGTGACATGATACATATTAATGGGAGGGTTGACACCCTAGAATCTGCTAGACCACCCATATCAACAAATCGCACCTCACCCATTCACATACACGCTCACTCACACTGGAAAGCAACTGGAGGTTTATAGGACTCTACTGCATGTATACACAGTTTAGTCTCCACCTACAGGGAACGGTTATTTGTGATTAAATTATGGATAACACTACCGGTATGTTAATTACGAGGAGAAGGACTAGTCATTGTCTAACTGAACAACTATAGTTCAAATGAACTGCTGCCCAGAACCAAACTGACTTTTCACAAGAGCCAATGATGACATTCCATTTCTAAAATGTACCTTACATACCCTTGATCGCAGTGCATATCATCCAACAATAAACAAGATCCCTGAGAGAAACAAACCATCTGGCGGTGACAGAGAGGCATACACCACGCAGGTCATAATTAGGTAGCACAAACACAACGACACTGAGCGAAGCAACTAGACAGGATAGTGAAGTTGCTAAATATAATGGAGGTGTCAAGTGTTTATTCGATTCTTAAAATCGGCTCCTGGAGATAATTTACAACCTGGAGGCCTCTCTTCCCCCTTTCCTTTCCTCTCTTCCCCCTTTCCTTTCCTCTCTTCCCCCTTTCCTTTCCTCTTTTCCCCTTTCCTTTCCTCTCTTCCCCCTTTCCTTTCCTCTCTTCCCCCTTTCCCTTTCCTCTTTTCCCCCTTTCCCCTTTGCCTTTCCTCTCTTCCCCATTTTCCTTTCTCTTTTCCCCCTTTCCTTTCCTCTCTTCCTCCCTTTCCTTTCCTCTCTTCTCTTCCCCCCTTTCCTTTCCTCTCTTCCCTCTTTCCTTCTCTCTCTCTCCCCTTCCTTTCCTCTCTTTCCCCCATTTCCTTCACTTTCCCTCATTGTCCCCCCTTTCCTTTCCTCGTTTTCGCCCCCCTTTCCTTTCCCCTCTCTTCCCCTTCCTTCCTCTTCCTTCCCCCCTTTCCTTTCATCCGTCTTCCCCCTTTTCCTTCCTCTTTTCCCCCTTTCTCTCGCTTTGTCTGCTGCCTGCTGCAGTGGCTAGGCCTTACCTGCTGACTGGGCAAAGTAAACTGAAACAGTCCATGGGTAGGGGAGGGGTGGAAGAGAGGGAGAGAGAAAGGAGTAGAGAGAAAGAAAGAGAGAGGGAGACAGAAAGGGAGGAGAGACGTAGTAAACTAAAAGAGGAGTGTGAGGAGAGAGTGATGAGACAACCACAAACGGTTGCAGAATCGGTGACAGAGAAGGAAGGAGGAGTGGTAGAGAGAGAAGGAGGGAAGGTGGAGGAGGAGGATAGGCCCTGACTGCCCTGCCCGGAGCCCCACCCCTTGCTCCCTACAGCACAAATCAGTTTCCAATAACGCGCTCCTCCTTTTTCACTGCACGCAAAATTGAAGAGGCCATCGACTCGCTGGCTCCAGCGTCAGTGCAGTAGAATGGGATGCCGGCCAAAAGTGCCCCAGCTAACCCGTAATCACTGTTAGAAGGCAGAACGATAAGCTATGCCATGCTAGCCTCTCCTCCTGTCCCTGAATCATATTTACAGAGTAACGCTGATTTGAATAACGCAAGACATGCGTTTATGCTGAGACCACCACTGTCCTGAAGCGACAACAAAAGCCAAACGATTTTGTGCTACTTACAGTACATGCCTGTCACTTGTCTGTGGTATCGCGTCCTGTAAGGCCTTGTGCCCATTGTATGTGTATGTCTCTGAGGCGAATGTCAGACAGTATGTCCTTGTTTGAGATCCAACTACGATCAGGACCAGAGTGACATTCAAGCTTTGCTAGTAACGTCACACAGTGATGATGCAGCATGTTTCAGGGATTCTCCATACAGTATTTTGGCCAGTCTATAAATCACTCTGATTTATGCCCTTTCTCTCCTAAATTAAGACAGTGCTGAAACCAATCATATATAATATACACAGAATGTTGCCCTACTTCTGTTTACAGCTGGGACACAAGAAGTGGAACCTTTATCCAACCCTGCTAAATCTGTCTCTTTCTTAGATGGGTTCACCTAAGTTCAAAGGCTGATGAAGAAGAGTGACAAAATGTAGGATAAGACTTTGTTCTTGTGTTTGAATTAGATGTATTGTAGCCTCGTCCCGAGACTATTGCGCACACAGCCTGGGATATCAACGATTCAAAGTTGGCATTAGTGAAAGTTGGTGTTAGTGCAGCGTTTCTCAAACTAGAGGTCGTGACCACATGTGAGGTCGCCTGATTTTAAAATGGGGTCGCAAGAGAAACTCTAAAAATAAAAATAAATGGGCTTGGTTCATAGAACTGGGGTTACGTCAGTAACCTCCGGTAGCTGCTAGATGCTAGATGTGGTTGGAATAAACAGAGCGGTTTCTGTTTTCTTCATATAAATGTGTCTCTATCTTTTGAACCGTTTAAGCCCACAAGATACACAGGACTCATTAGAACAGAATGGAAGAGACCAGGCACTAAATCAATGATGATATTATTTTCTACACAGAAGATCATACAACATTATTGCCTGATGAACTTCTGAACTTCCCAATACCTTTCTGGTGGTTTTCAGCCACTTCAAAACATACTTCCTTCAGATTAAAATACTGTCAAAAGTACTGTCAGACTGACTTGTAACAGACTGTCATAGCCCCAATTTAAAAAGTGAACATTGGCCGTTGATTACATCCCTTTTTTTATATGGTGGAGTCACACATTTTTTTAAATATCAAAATGGGGTCACAGGCCAAATAAAGTTTGGGGACCACGCATTAGTGGGAGTGCCCATAGAATTCTATGGGCGTGACCTACTGAGTAAAGTACTTGTCATCATTTCATTTTAGCGAATCACACAACTGAGAGGCATGGGGAGGGTTAGGGGGAAGGTGTTGTGGGAGATTAAGCTAATGCATATGCGCAGGGAGTTTCTCCCGGTCATTCTGTATTGGCTAAAGAAGGCCAAGTTTGACGCGTTGGTCCACCAGACTCTTCCTGACTCTTTTGGCGGAAGTGTCTGGAGACTAAATTAGATGTATTATAACTGCAGCAGATTGGCTATGATGTCATACCATAGAACATATACCAGTCAGAAACAGGAGTTTGTAGAAACAACGGTGCACACCAACATAAGGTTCATCATCCACATGCTGACTGAGTTCAAAAGTACCCCACAGGGACAAAGAAGCAATAGAGCTACACAGCACTATAACACAGTCCCCAATATGAACCAAACACAGGCCAGAAATACCTCAGCAGAGGTTAAGCTAGCAGCAGGTCTTAAGGACAATCCAAACAGGGGACAGGAACGTCCCCACAGGAGTTGGCTGCATGACAAAATAAATGAATGTAAATCCAAAATACAACCACAACAGAAGCCACAGAGACAGACAACACCAGGCACCAGGACGGGTGGGCTAGGTCACTACCTGGAAGCGAAGGATGATGGTCCAGATGAGGCCAAGGGTGAGGCGGTGGTTGCCGTCGACGATGTCGTGAGAGCCGACGTTCTCCAGGTGGACCCTCTGCTCCTTGAGGAACTGCAGGGCCTTGTCCACGTTCTCCAGGCAGTGGATCCGCATGCGACCCCGCGTGGGCCTCGGCTAGGGGAGGGGAGGGAGGAATGGGGGAGGGAAGGAGGGAGGGAGAAAAGGGTGACAGGACAGCGAGGTAAGAAGGTAGAGGGAATGAGAGAGGGAACAAGAGTGGAATGGTGAGAGGAGTAATGCTTGATTGGTCAAATAAATCTGCAGGGGAAATACTGGCTTTGATCGCAATGCCTTTATAGTAAGACAATATTTTTCTCATTAAAAACACAATGGCAAAGAAAGCGTGCAAATGCTGTTCCCATCCAATTGTCAAACCCCATTATGCTGACTACTATTCTCATACGATTACACATGACATATAGCTGCAGTGCTGACAAGATTCATGAAACATTTAGACATGACTGAATAATATTTGGAACAAAAATAACTACAATGCAGAGCTTTTTGTTGAATAGTTTGCGCTTGTTCTCCTAGCATCTACTGACTTAAAGGTAGACTGAGGTTGTGAACCAGAGAATGGGTTGACCAACCAGCATCTCCCCAGACAGGACCTCCAGCAGCCTGGTGAGCATGTAGCCGTCCCGAAGGTCGTTGTAGAGGTCAGCGATCCGACAGGACACTCTGGCCAGGTGGGAGTTCACCCACTTAGTGAAGGTCTTCTTCTGGACAGCATCTCTCTCTTCTGCAGGAGAGATGAGATAAACACAAGGCTTACAGATGTAGGATCTTAATTTGAGCCAGTTTGCTACAGCAGGAAAATAAACCTGCAGCAACAGGAAAAGTGAATTATTATGTGGAATTTAATGGACATTTATGTAGGGGTCTGACATTTTAAATGGAAATAGAATACTTTTTAAAAGTTGAATACACTACAAGTTTGCATTTCCTGCTTTGCAGGAATATTCTCAGCAACAAAAGAGTGATCAAATTAAGATCCTACAACTGTAGTTCATCAGGATAGAGCCCTGATCAGTGATGTAGTTACTAAACCTCACATCTGAGTCGTGTCCCCAGTCACTACTGGTCCAGACCGAATCCGACTCCAAGTCCGAGTCACCACTGGTCCAGTCCGAGTCCTGGACTCAAGTACTATAACACTGGCTCTGATATAACAACCATACCCCGTTGTCAGTAGCCCCCTGTATGATAGATCATGAATCAAGTCCTTCTACAACTTTGAACCTCCATCAGGTATATAGGGAGGCCTATGAAGCTTGTGTGTTTTGTGAGTGATGGAGCTGTGACTGAGACAGGTGAAGGTGCTCTTGCTCCTCTAGTCCAGTCTCTCTATCCACCCACCTGCCAAGGCCTTGATGCGGGAACACTCAAACAGTTTGGAGCTGGTGACCTCGGTTTCCCAGTGTCCCGAGCTGCCGGCCAGACGGGTGTTGTTGTTGTTGAGCTGGCACTGGGCCTCCGCGTTGTCCAGGTCTGTGGACGCATTGGCCATTGCGCCTGTTTCCCTGAGTGACCCTACAGACACACAGTGGGAGAGTTAAGTAGAGTACAGTGCATTTAGGATGTGGATCACACTTCATGCACCCTTTATCACCCCCATAGAAACAAAGCATACTGTACAAAGGTAAATACATAATCTCGAACACCATGCAGAAAATCTGAAACACAACAATTGTGTTTAAGGGCAAAGTGCATGCATGTTTTGATAGAGCTCCAGTCCACACCATATAGATAGTAATCCAGGGAGGGCTATGTCATAGATATCCATGATTTCTGAAGCAGATGTAATGTATAATTGTTTAAAACAGAAGCACAAATCACGCATTGACTCAAACATTTGCATAGTTAATGATAATTCCTCATTCACGATTCATCTATTTGCTTATCAAAAACATGTATGAGTCTTAGTAATAATTTATCATTCATGACTCATTTGCATAAAATACATAACAGAGGGCATTTGGCACACTCTTCTTCCCTGGTCATGTCTTATATAAAAAACTGGCTCATATTGTGTCTCTTTCACATCAAGTGAGATGAGATCAGAGCAGTGCCGTCAATAAACAGCACAATACATCAACCAGAGAGCTACTGCCCTCATTCCCCATCCCTTCTGGCTCTTTGTCATGTTATACTCATGTAAGTATGAATATGGACATGTTAATGTATAAGTGTGCAGGGAATCTGTGAGGGGAAAATGTACTTTCTTTGCAATGGGAGACTGAGCGAGGTTGAACTCTTTTCTGTTACAATACCAGCTATTGTCCTTGAGGCACCTCACAAAGCACAAAGATTATTTTGTTAACCCCCCCCTCCCCCAATCCTCAACCCCTGATTCCCCCCCTCTGTTCCCCTCTCATCCCCCACATTTCCCTTTCAGCATCCAACACCAAAACCATACAGTTTAATGATGGGTTCCCAGTCTACATAAAACAAACATTACCAGTATGGGCTAGATCATAAAATACAAAACCCAACAAATAGTGAAAAGAAAACACAAAATATCAGTGAAAGAATAAATGGACCAAAATATTACACTATGACATATTGGCAGATAAGACAAAAGCAGTCAAGATGTGAAAAGGAGTAAACAGTAAATACATGCTCAGTACTCTTACTAATATGACCTATAGTAACCCATTGAGTCCCCCCTATCGCTGGCACATTTTGGAATTCTAACCCCTTTTAAACATTGTTTTTAAAACACTGCATGTTTGTTACAGGAGTGGGTCGCAGTTCCGGAGCGACCCACTAGGTGTCATCCTCCGACAACCTTAGGCACCTCCTCACTCACAGTCGGGACTAATTATCTGCCTATTGGTGTCACCTGTGTCTATCTGATTCACTTGTGTATTTATGCCCTCACTTCCCTGTGTTCCCTTGCTCAGTTTTCACTGCTAGTTCCTTAATGTCAAGCAGTCTGTATCAGTGTCGGATCACGTGACGGAGTTACAGGTACTCGAGAAGTGTTCTCCCTGTGTCATTGTGTTTTTCCAGTCAAGAGTTAGTATTTCGTATTGTTTGCTGTCAACCTGTTTTTTGGAGACCTATGTGCTCCTCATTTGTTTTCGTGAATAGTCCGTTGTTTTGTATCCTGGCTTTGGGACCAGCAGTAAAGCTCCTTGTTTCACCATATTTGCCCTACTGCCTACTGTCTATCCTGCACCGCACCTGGGTCACACCTCACGCCAACCCTTACAGTGTTTAAAAGGTCTTTGTGATTAACGGGGGCTGAGCTAGAACGGTCTTTTATACAAAAAATGTCTGTAGAGTCCGAATAGTTTGAGCTATCTATGAAAAGCCATCTATGGAAAGCTGAGACTCTCAAGAACATGGACATGTGACATGTTTTGCTCTATGACGCTCACAAGCTACATAAAAGTCGTTAGAAGGTAAGGGGTTCTTCTACATAGAAGATCATTGGAAATCCCAGGACATAGTGTCTATAATACTGTAATAAGCTCACGTAGTTGCTGTCACAAACACCAAACTCCACACAGTTGTTACTGACTAGTTGGATATTTATTTCCCAGTGAGCAAACAATTTCTGTACTTACAGCATTCATATAGATTCATTTTTATCAGGTTTTTGCTTTGGCTGACCTTTTTTTTTTTTGGCTGTCTATTCAATTGCAGAATGCCATGATTATCTACAGGGCAGACTATAGGCCTCTGCTTCTCAGAGGCAGAACACAGAAAGTAATACTTAGTATACAGTTGAAACAATGTTGCAAGTTCACTATAATGTTGCTAGTGGGCTGGACCTAGTTGTTAATGTTGCAAGTTCGCTAGTGGGCTGGACCTAGTTGATAATGTTGCAAGTTCGTTAGCGAAAGCTCAAGACACCACTGTAGCAGGACAAAATTGCATTTAAAAAACTGCCCTACCCCCCTGTAATTCGCACACTAGATGACGGTCATGATCCATTGGAGTGTAATTATCTCTCTCTTTTCTCTCTCTCTCTCTCTCTCTCTCTCTCTCTCGCTATCTCTCTTTCCTATCGCAAGTGTTGTTGTACACAGCCATTCACAACCATCTAATACATCAAGAAATAAAGTAAAAATATTGGACAACTAAGCAGCCAAGTGAGACATACAAAAGAAAATGTCAAAAAAGCCTCACAGACATTTATATGTCACCAGAGGGACCTCCACTATCCGCTTCTATAGAAGGATGAGCCCAACATACAGACATTCTGAAAAATATAAATGCAGCACACCCATCAGGAGAGTATTCTCAATTCCAGAAACGAGGTCATCAATAAATAACAGAATATTTCAGGAATCAATGGGAAATGTACAGTAAATACATTTACATTTTAGTAGACGCTCTTATCCAGATCGACTTACAGTTAGTGATGCATACATAATTTTTTCATACTGGCCCCCGGTGGGAATCGAACCCACAACCCTGGCGTTGCAAACGCCATGCTCTACCAACTGAGCTACATCCCTGCCGGCCATTCCCTCCACTCCCCTGGGCCAATTGTGCGCCGCCCCATGGGTCTCCCGGTCGCGGCCGGCTACGACAGTGCCTGGATTCTAACCAGGATCTCTAGTGGCACAGCTAGCACTGCGATGCAGTGCCTTAGACCACTGTGCCACTCAGTGTACTGAGATCATACCGATATCCTACTGAGAGCACACCGAGATCATACTGAGAGCATACTGAGATCATACTTACACATCTTTCCACATTATCTTAATCTCAGATCGGGTCAAAGGATCGATGCAATGCTCAGTGAAATTCAGATTTAGAGAGAGCTACTGTAACAATCACACCACAGCCCCATTCCTCTCCAGATGTGGAGAGAGTGTGTGTGTGTGTGGTGCGTGCGTGCGTCTATCTGTGTGCGTGCGTGCGTGCGTCTGTGGGTGTGTGTTCGGGAGACGCAGAGGGGGGTGTAGTGAAGCATGCGTCTGATGTGTCACAGCTCAACGCGTTCCAGTTGGTTGTCTCATTACCCACCAGAATGTCCCCTGGATACCCAGAGCACCTCCTACAGTAGATCCAGAGACTGCACCCGGAGGAGTCAGCAGTACATCTCCATGACCGCTCAACAAGCTGGTGTGTCCTCCAATCACATACCACCAGATACTACCAGCCCCTTGAGCCACGAAACCGGGTGGTAGGTCACATACTTCCTGAACAACATACATCACCTTTATACAAAAAGACACCACATATGTCGCACAAAATAACACTCTACACATATCCTTTTCAAGGGGCCGCACACACATTCTAATTCCATGGTCATGTACTGTATAGTGAAGGATGTCACACTGACAGAAGGCCACCATACAGCCACAATGCATTAAGGCTCCATCCAAACTGTCACTGTCATATCTGTCAAACGTATTGGCCTGTGCTGTTGCTAGCCTTAGGTCGCCCCAGCAGGCCTTTCCTAGACCCACCACCTGGAGTCCCTCTAATAAGACAGTCTTTTAGCTTAAGGATCCCACTGACTGATGTGATGTGGTTCTTCCTGGTAAACAAACACAGATGTCAGTGTCTCAGCATGCCAGAGGCCCCTCTCACATATCCAAGACGCTCCGCATGGAAACAACAACACTGTTGCTCTCCAGCAATAATCCAGCCCTCATATGCTTCTGCTGCTACGGGGACAATTCACTGACAATTCACTGACGAACCTCATCTATCCG